GCTCACTGGCCCCTACCTCTGAGAAATGATGGGGTGAAACACTAGATTTTAACGTTTAGTAATAAATAATACCTCAGACTAAAGTTAGGATAATAAAATTGACATTTCTGGATTCCTTGCAGGTCAGGGAATATTTTGAATGTAAACTTCATATATTTTGTACAAAAGATAAAATACATGCTTTGTGTAAACCACTGAAGATGTGAATTACACGAAAGCGCTTGGGAACTTCGTGTTTTCTTCTTTCCTTGTGGTTATCAGCATATATATATATATATGTATATATGTATATATATATATATATATATATATATATATATATATATATATATATATATATATATATATATATATATATATATATATATATATATATATATATATATATGTGTGTGTGTGTGTGTGTGTGTGTGTGTGTGTGTGTCAAAAGCCCTCACCCTTGAGATAAAACATTCATTGCAACTTATAAGGGGGAAGACTCACAACTTCCTCCATTGCCTGGTATGATATTAGCTAAGTTATCCAACTACAGAAGGTTGTGAGTCAGTTTCAGAGGCATACATTCATACAGCAATTATACAGTAAATAAAGACAATACAATTTTGTACCGTGTGCATCTAATGTTGAAGTGGTCTTGTATGAATAGCATTCTTGATTCAAAATGTAGGTAGCTAATGTTTGTGGTTTTAGTACTAAAGAGGGATGTCTTCAAATGAAAGAAATAAACGCATCTACACCCACCGACCCTCTCTGAAGTACAAATATTCACCAACTTTCTTCTCACCTCACCTAAAAGAGTTGGTAGACCCTAGCATCACCAAACTGCTGCACTTATAGAGAAACACAACACTTTGGCTATATACAGGTACAAATTACATTCAAATAGGACTTTATACACAATCCATTTGCACAATTTATTATTTTCAAATGAAATAAAAAACTCATTCCTTAATGTATCTGAGCAAATCACTTAAGAAAAAGGTGCATTAGCAATAGGGCTGTGCACTAAAACTGTACAATGGAATGATGGTCAGACTGAAAACATTTTAATGTATAAAATAATTATACACATAGATACAGTACCCAGCACATACAGTACATTCGTCGCATTTTTGGTTTCAATTCTTACTGTACATATCTAGGTAACTCGATATTACCTTTTACTCTTACGAGTCAATAAATATGAAGATTTTATCACAACTATGAACTGGTTTAAAGAACATTTTCGAAAATTAAATTGTGTGTTCTAGATAACTTTTTGATAGAAATGAAAAGATCTCAGATACAAACTTATGTCATATGTACACCATAAACACTGCAATCTTTTTCACTTGTGCTCTCAAGACTTAATTTATGCATAAGAGACTGCAGAAAATATAAAATGTGGAGAGGAGCTGCTTACAGTTCTGATAAAAATGAAAACATAAGTAGTACAGAACTGTATATTCTGTAGTATAACTAGGTTACAGGCAATCAATTCAAATCAAGAAATCTGTAAAATGCCTGTGAAAATGTTCCATATCAAGTTAAGTTAGGTTAGTTTAGGCTAGGTGAAGATTTAAAAACTTCACACTGAACTCAACTTCTTCTAACATAGCTCAACACATCTTATCCCATACACAACATAAAATGGAACTTTTTTTATAGATATTTCACACACTGTATTGCCTGATATGCCTGTAACAATACATGAGCAACAACTGATACCTTTCATAACATAATTTCTCACATGTGCAAGTAGTAAACACTGAGAATTATTGGTTTAATAATATCATAGTAATAAGCTGCGTATTGCCTGAACTTCAAGAAAGTTCTATACTGTATTGGAAAGCTTCAAGTTAAATAATTATGACTTACTCACTTCACTGTGTTTAAACAAGCCAATACCAGAGCCTAGAATATTTCATATCAACTAAAAATGTATTAATGAAAAAATTTATAAAGTACAATTAGATTATATTTTCTATTTCTAAAATCAATTAATAAAAATGAAAAAACAAAAGACTGTATTAGATATAAAACCAAACTTGAAGTCTAAGCAATTTTATATGCACTCCACCACAAGTACTGTACATTATGTATCTAGTTTTGTAAATAAAATTTAATAATCACGCTATGACTGATGGAATTGGCAGCTATTCTACGAGGAGATTATATTTATGGGAATAAATATAAATATGTAAGCCACAGTGATGTAATCGAGACTGATTCCAAGACCACGAACACGACAGTGGACGAGTTGACGATTCTGGGTAAACACAAGAAATACACTCTGCCACATTTGGAGAGTGATACGGTATACAGTACAGTAATATAATTTGTAATAAAAGTTTAAAGTCCTGCTATGATAGAAGAGATAAGTTTATTTCTCAAGAAACAGGGTGGCAATTTGCAATGACGTCACCACCTACCCTGCAGACGACACACAGATGGAGATATGAGTCAACTTAGAAGTAATGACATTGTCTGTACTTTGCTTTGAGAATGCCTGATGTTAAGTAAACATGACAACATAGTGCTGTTATTGAACCACTGGGATATATCATCATTTATATTAATTAATTAATGGGTAAAATTTTACTTTAACAACTTAAGTATTTGGATGTTTAGATTCAAGATCAGCTATATTGGTTAAATTGTAAGTTTTGGTCATCCCTGTACTTAGACATGCAGACTATGCTTTTTTTTATGATGGTTTGCGATGTGTTATGAACGATTTAGACCTTCATTTCTATTGGAAATCACTAGTTTTGAATTATTACTACCCCCCTTTACCAATGTAGTTAAGCTAACCTTGTCACTCATCATACCCTAACCTAACCTAACATATGATCTGTATTTTCTTATGTGATCAAAAAATATTTTGCGACAGAAATCCCGCAGAGATAATTTGTTTTGTTGTTTAAAGTAATTAATCCCAAAGTTAGAATCTTAAGGTTTGCCAGATGACCAAAACCAAAATAATACCAATATTGTTTGGAATGTTTATACAGTAAAGCCTCCGACAACTACGGTTCAACTAACAAAGATTCATATCCAAGACCCTGGTTAATTTAGGACCCAATTCAATTTATGCCATTATTTTCTTTGTATTTAAGACAAAATAAAAATGTATATATAACATTTTTGTATAAATAATAACTAAATCCCGATATTATAAAAAAAATCTTACGTACTGAGGCGAAAGTGGTGATGCCAGCATCATTAGTATAAACAATCGCAGCTGGCGGGCCCTTGTTTTCACGCATCTGAACAGGAAAAGGAAAAAAACTTTTTCAGGTTTCTTACAGCATTTTTGCATCCCTATTCAACATGAACAAGAGAGCAAGTGATGGTAGTGTTGTTTCAAAAGCTAATAGAAAGTGTATAAGCTTAGCCGAGAAACTAGATGTGTTAAAACGATATGAAAAAGGTGAGAGGTCTGTGGATATTATATGGAGCAAGCAATGAACATATTTTCTGAAGTGGATCCATTAACAGAACAAAGCATTAAAATTTAAATAAATGCAAATGACCTCTACATAAAGATGTACAGTATAGTCTGGATTTACGCGGATTTTGTTTACGCGTTTGGTCATTTACGCGGCACCTAGCCAGAATGAATATTTTAAGTTATGCGGTTCATTCCATCATTTATGCGGGAAGCGGCGCCTGGAGAGTGCGCATTAGGTCGCTCTTACGTTATCGCTGACGTCATATGACGTATCGGACTGTGATTGGGCCATGCATCCTTTCCACCCACGCAATCCCTCCGCCACTAGCTGTGATTGGTCTAATGTAACATGACGTGCTCTGCCACCAGAGGGAAGAAGTCGCTGACCTAGCCGGGCCAGTCTCATTGTTCTCAGTTCTCCGCATATACTGTTCTCTCTTGTGCCCGCTATTCCCCTCATAATGGCTTCCGCTGGACCCCCACCACCCCCGAGAAACTTTGAACTACCTGGACCAAGCCATGGTTATGTGAAGGAAATCATTGAGTTGGGGGAAAAAATCAAGCTCATCCTTGACAAAGACACAGTCAAGCATCGGTATAGTGTCTAATAACCTTCTGTCGACAATTATGGAGCCGTATGTCCAGATGTATCACGACAACATCAATGCTAGTCTCACCCGCAACCCACCACAACTACAGCCAGCCCAAGTCAGGGAGGCCCTGCAAACCTCTGTGAGTAGTGATAGTGATTCACCGGAAGGCCACTAATCTGCCCTCTGCCTCGGAACCAGCCGCCATCCACGTGTGCCGACCCATCTCTTCTACTAAAGTAAGCTTTAAACACCTTTATATTTGTAGTTTTTTATTCAGATATTATGTGTGTGTCAATACCATCATAAAATTATGATGTTATTTTTACTACAAGGTACGTATTGTGGAGGAAAAAGTGGAGTTTGGGAGTCGGCCCAGTCTCTGTTTCAATTAATCCAATATGTTCTGTTATTTCATTTACGCGTTTCTCTTTTTACGCGCACCTCCACGGGTTCAATTGACTGCATAAATGCAGACTATACTGTATAATGAGAAAAGAAAGCAGCTGTGAAGGTTCTTTCGACAGCTTTATTATTCGAAGGCCTAAACCATCAACTTCAGCTACACCATCAAATTCAGCATCATAAGCAGCTTCGACATCAACTTCAGGCTCAGTAACAGTTTCAGCAACAGCTTTATGGAAAGCTACAGCTTCAGCCAGAGTTGAACCCGATAACTTCGTCATCTGAGTAAAAACTTGCACAATATTCATTGCCTGTCCTTATGTTTTAGACTTTACCACCATTGGTGAGTGGAATTTTTGTTTTACATTCATAAATATTATTTAAAACATACATGAACAGTAAATAAGTGTTGCTTTCATATTCATATGTAGAGAAATGACAATATGTTTTCACACGTACGCAATTACTGCACATACAGTACGTTAGCGTTCCCAATCGTCTCGCTGTATTTCTTTACCATTCGTGGTTAGCTACTCCTAGTATTCCATTTATTAACATTAACCAACATTACTTAAAACATACATACAAGTATTAAATTTTTTTTACATTAAGTTCACTACAGATACAACCAGGGTTTATTTTTCTTCAGATGCTTATGTAGAACCATCGTCACTCACGAAAACAATGTTGTCTTGTCTACTCGTGTGTGTTTTAATATTCTACGTATTATTAATGAATTGCATTGTTCATTTCACAGATATAAACATTTATTCAATCAAATACACATTCATTAATAAACAATAATGAATCTTTTGTACATATTCTTAAGATAAATGACTATGTTTCCTTGAGTGCGCACGTATACACTGGCGTTCCACGATCAGTCTCACTTTTTTCGTACTGTACATAAAATAACTGACATTATGGGTGTAAACACTGACAACAATGCCATCTCTTATCGTCTTGTGTGTTTTAATATTCTACGCATTATTAATGAATTGTATTGTTCATTTCGCATATATAAAGATTAATTCAATCAAATACAGATTCAGTAATAAACAATAATGAATCTTTTGTACATATTCTTAAAAGGATAAGTGATGCGGTATCCTTAAATGCGCACGTATATGTTGGCATTCCCATTCCATCTCACTTTTTTTTCTTTACCATTAGTGGTTAGCTACTTCTATTGTTCCATTTATTAACCTTAAATAACATTTCTTAAAACATATATATTCATTTTTTTACATTAATTTTACTACAGCTACAACCAGGGTCTTATTTTCTTCATTTTCTCCTGTAGAACTATTGTCCCGGACTCCCGGCTGTAAACACAAACGAAAACAATGGCATCCCATCTCCTCTTGTGTGACCATATTATTATTCATTTATATTGTATAAGGTGTATTCATAAACATTATGTAAAGAATATAGTTTGCAATTTTCATTAATTGTATTGTTTTTGGGGGAAAAGAGGGTAAAAAGCCACACATAAGATATGAAAAGGTCACACTTGGGAATGCATCTCATTATTATTGCTTTACTGTATTTTAATGGTAATTAATGATTCGCAATACGATGATTCACCTTACACTGCAATATTGGAGGACACCGTCATTATTCGAGGCTTTACTGTACTATGAAATTTGTAGTAGGGGCAGCTGATATCCATTGAATCAGTTAATGTGCTCAGTAATATTTATATATTCAATATAGCATTACTGTGTTGCACAGTAAGCACAATTAATTATCTAATAATATTTATTTACAGAGCCGATCAGCCAAGAAGGTTGAACAACTACTTCCAGGGTTCATCAAGGCAGATGAAAGAAATTTACCAAAAGTAGATGTCTTTTTTTTTTTTTTGTAGAGTATTATCAAGAATGCGGCCATCCAGCTATGAAGCACATTAAATTACATCTGTCATCTGATCATCTCAAGCCCATTCCCTAGCCATGATCGTCCCTAGTCCTTCCATAACATCAGTGACGAAACTTACATTTTCCAGACATGAAATAGAGAACAGTGATGAAAACTTCCATGTTGGAGTGATCGGTCTTTTGCATCATTTTGGTACCCAGGAAGTAAATACACACAATGATACTTGAGCAGTAATTTATTTTATCCTAAAAATAAGGTACTGTATGCCTGTATAAATCAACATTGCATATGGCCACAAGTCCTGTATTTCTGCTGGTAACACCACATACACCACAGCTGGCTCGGCGGCTCGCACTAGTCAGTGACGGCACAACCAATCACAGAGCTTTTCGCAGTCACGTGACTTTATAGCAACTTTAACCCTTATTTTTTACACTTTTTGGCATAATTAATTAAAAAATATCATTACCATAGTGAATTTAAATATTTGTTTTACCCATTGACCAGCCATCTTACGAAAAAAATCCAACTGTCAACTCGTCCACTCACAATCTTCTCTTTTATGGATCACCTGAGATTAGCCCCACAAAAGCTCACTTGAAGTTTTGCCCCTCACCTTAACCAGCCTGAAGTTTTACCAACCCCAAAACTATCTGGGGGGGGGGGTTAATCTGTAAAGTGATCCATAAAAACTATAATTGTGAATGATTTCATTCATGTTCTCAGGGTCGGTCTCGCCAACATCACCAGTAAGCTATCATCACCCGTTACAAGAGATTATCGTATTGCCCTAATTGTCAACCTATAAGAAAACAATTTAAGTTTATCTTAGTGTAATGCAGCAATATAAGAAGCCAAACACTTTATTGCTATACAATTCTACATCGACTCATGTTTGACTTTTGTCTTGCCTTATGCACAGAAGCAGTATCCATACTAAAATATAATACCTGCACACTTATCACAATGTTGTTTTAATTCCCACTCGACCCTGCATCATTGTAGTCCTCGTACTCATAATCATATTCTTCTTCAACAGGCGGTTCACCCATATCAACCTGTCATAAAATAAATAAATATAGGATATGACGTGTAACAACGCCAGTGGTGTAGTCCAGGACGAACACCACGAACAACACCATTCGTAATTTTTTACTTCATGAATCACCTAAAGATTAGCCCCCTCCAAACAGTTTTAGGGTGGTTAAGTTTCAGGCTGATTAAGTTGGGGGTAACTCTTCTGATGAGCACTTGTGGGGCTTATCTCCAAATGTGCACTTCGAGAGCTAATCTTCAGGTGAACACTTGGGGCTAATCTACAGGTGAGCACTTGGGGGCTAATCTACATGTGAGTACTTGGGGGCTAATCTACAGGTGAGTACTTGGGGGCTAAACCACAGGTGAGAAATTGGGGGCTAATCCACAAGTGAGAAATTGGGTGAGGGTAATCTTCAAGTGAGAAATTGAGTGGGGCTAATTTTCAGCTGAGAAATTGGGTGGGGCTAATCTTCAGGTGAACTGTAAAGGTTAAAATTTTAAAAGGTCTCGTTCGTTGTCTCAGTCTTGACCACATTATTGAACAATACCTATGAAGCAATCATTCTGCATAAGTTTTGACAGTGCATGTAGTAAACTATGAATTAAAACAAACTGAAGTATACAGAGACACTACATTGGTAATTTTCTCTCTATATAAAATACAAGCAATGCATAATAAACCAATCAGAGTGTTACCCACCTGCACTAAACCTGCTGCTATTGCATACCCAAACATTGCTGAAAATGCTACCAGCCCAGATAAGAGTAAGTTACGTCCTTTGTTTGGCACATCATCTTTAGCAGGTGAGTCTCGGGCTTCCGTGCCCCTGTGGCCCTCTGGTAGATGAGAGATATTTTTGTTATTATTTTTTTCCACAAACATATTCTTGTCCCTTCTTCAAACAGAAAACACTTACTATCTATCTGACTATTACAGCTACAGTATCTTAACAATAACTGACCCTTTTCTACTAAAAAGATTCCAAAGATATAATTCTTAGTCCCTATGATTTATCAAGTGTCAGATCAATTATGTTTGAATTATGATTCTTTATTCATTAATTCATCTTCAGAATTCTTAATTTCATTTACACCCAAATTCCTTACTTCATCTAAAATGCAGATAATCAGTGCTCAGAATATTTATGTAGATTCTTATAATACCCTGTAATATGACATGACTAGGAAATTAAAATATTTTTATGGACCATTAATTATCAAAAAGACATATGTAGCAGTCAGGTTCTCTTAAAAAATAAAAAAAAATTCCAAGTCATCTTATTTGTTGTATTATCATTATGAAAACATATAAAACTACTTTACTGTATATCACATCTTAACCAGCTACTTTACTCAGTCCTCTGTGCTGTAAAAGTAAGATTGACAACTATCAACTTATAAAAAGATATTTACCTGTACGGGGTAATTATTTTTTCTTGAAAATAGTGTAAATTAATTTATCCTAAACCAGGGAAGAAAATCTTAAAGTTTTTAGAACCTTTTTTTTTTAAACCTCTGATTTTCTGCAATCCCATTTCAAGTGCCTATACAGTACCATTTAAGTAAATCAGCAGACAATAATTTCCATTTAACTCCATTTAGATGTCACATAAAACCCTAACTGTAATTCATAAAATAATGGAGCTGCATAAGAAAACATAACTAACCACTGTCAGCCTCTAACTTTTGAGAATAATGGCCCTATTCACAAAAAAAATATATATATATTTATACTGTATATATATATATATATATGTATATATATATGTATATATATATATATATATATATATATATATATATATATATATATATATATATATATATATATATATATATATATATATATATATATTATGTATATCCATGCCAGCTATATATATATATATATATATATATATATATATATATATATATATATATATATATATATATATATATATATATATATATATATATATATATATATATATATATATATATATATATATATATATATATATATATATATATATATATATATATATATATATATATATATATATATATATATATATATATATATATATTCTTAAGAAATATACAGTAATTCTAACAGCTACTGTAATGTATTTGAACACAATACAGTGAAACCTTAATAATGTGGCATGGTTGGGACTAAGCAGTCACTGGATTTTGTAATTTTCTGGTTTATAGAGTAGTAAACTGTACAGGAGAGCCCAGAATAGTAGTCTATCAATGCCTAAATTTACCTGCATTGTTTTATGTACCACCTTTTTATTCAAAAGTTTAAATCATATGTTTTTGCTACTGTAGCAACACTACACCCAACACTGAGCAATGGTCTCTTAGTAATACAGTACAGGTAGTCATTATGACAGCAAAGTGGGGTGCTGCAGACAAGGGATACAGAGCTTGCCTCTTGCCCTAAGACTTGCTGATTCACACTCTGGACATCCTAAGTCATCCAATTGTAAAGAGGTACCTAATTTTACAGTTGATGAAAATGAAGGTGGCTGAATGCAGTGCCAGCCATGCTGCCTTCATATTGTACATAATCAACTTTCACCTCCATGAAGGGATAAAACATACTGATTTTGTCAATTTAATGGCTGGCCATATGTCACCAGAAGCTCACAGAAAATAATATTTGGGTGGGAGTGAAGGCAATAACAACACAACTAAAACTTTGTACTACAATGTCTTATAGGCTTTTGGTGTTTTAATAAGTACAGTACAGAATTATCTCCGTTAGCCAGAACAATTGGTGCAGAGCACTTCGACAAATGAGAAATTTCCAGGTAACGAGATGGCTCTCTCTGGGAAAAAACCCCCATCCCCGGAATTTTTCTGGGTACAAGTACACCACCGATTTTCCGGGAACTGATGGTCCGGCACCTCCTTTAGTCCGGACAAAATTACGAGAGGGCACTTAACTTCCCTCCCTCCCAGCCACGGTGAAGGTAGTTTTAGGCTTAAAGTTTTTATCTTATAAAATGTAGCTGACTAAACTTTGCAGAATATAAACTGCATTGCTGGAATCCTTGTAAGATACGGTAGAGATTTATTTGAGTATAAACATCACATAGTTTGCACAAGAGATACAAATTTTAGTCTAGTGTAGTACAAAGTGTGTACAGTAATGTTGCTCAAAATTATGACTTTTTCGCATTTAATTTACATTTAATATTTGTTTAATTTAAGTTTCTAGCAGTCCATGGTGCTTTAGAGACACAAGAGCTGTATAATTAGTGGGTCAGAGGTGTATTATTACCTGACCTCAGTTGGTTCGGCAAAACAGATAATCCGGCAAGGCCTTGGAACCAAAGGTGCCGGAAAATCGGTGGTGGACCTGTACTGGGAAAATTTCTCGGAATTTTCAGGAAATTGCTTATTATCTCTCAAACCTAAAAAATTCTCCATCCCTGGAATTTTTCCAGTACTGGAATTTTCTCAGAATTTTCCAAAATGACGCATTATTTCATCTCTCAAACCCTGGAAAGATCCCCTATCCCTGGAATTTTTCTGGGTACCGTGAAAATTTTCTAGGAATCTTCCAAGAAATGAACCCCTCGGAAAATCATCCTCAAACCCGGAATTTTCCGGAAAAATTCCAAATAAATTTCAATTCCGGCTAAGAGGGATTCCAGCTAATGGAGTTATTACTATTAGAATTCATAAGATATTTAAAAATTATGATGGTTTTCAGTAGATTTGAGAATGACAATTGCTAGATTATCAAAGGTTCCACTGTACAGCATAAACTATTTCATGAAGCAAATGCAACATACAAAAATCTGTTACTTTGTTATTTGGTCAAAACATTACAATTACTCACTTCTCTTTGTCTGTTCCTCAGCCCGTAAGTCTTTATGAAGAAAACCAAACAAATTTACTGTAATAAGTATCATTACAATGGATCTACTCCCATGAAACTGAATACAGTATATGATCTCACTGGATTTCATCATTTCAATACCTCAATCATAACATCTTCATCTTGCAGGTTAACTGTCTGGAACTCCCCATGACAAACAGATAAAAAAGTGGGAAGGATGAGAATGGAGAAACAGAGCTACACTGTTCAGCACTTAGATATTTTTGTTTGTTTTTTATTGTACAACTAAAATAATTTCAAATATTACTGATCAAAGTATAAAAAACAGGTTACATTCTTGGACCCTGTTCGTAAATTGATACAGTGTTAATTCCATAGATTAGGTTAAAGCACAATCCTGTCCCATTTAAAACAACACTATCCAATACATAACAAATTATGTAAATATTGTAAATAAAGTGATGTTAAACAATATAATGTAAAAATTGGGATTTTAGTTACAGATATTTGTAATTGATATACACTGACCCCTTGCTTAACACAGATTTGTTCAACGCTGATTCACTCAAACACGTCTTTGTAATTACTACCCGGTTTTGCTTAACAAGGGGCTTGAATTACTTGAATTACAAATAGACAGATCAGTGTTCCGGACAGACAGTGCGGCAGTCCTTCAGTACATACGAAACACCGAAAGACACTTCCATTCTTTCGTGGCCAATCGAGTGGCAACGATACACGAGGATTCCAATGCAGAACAATGGCGCCACGTGAAGTAAGCACTGAACACAACCGATGACGCTAGTCATGGACTACATGGAACAGAGCTCAACGAGGAGGGCAGGTGGATTCGGAGACCTGCTTTCCTCTTGTTGGAAGAACAGTTGGCCAAAGAGTCCAATGATGATTCCAGACCTCACAGACGGAGACCCAGAGGTGAAGAAGGAAACCACTGTGATGACGACGAACGCTGACCAGGGGGAGGGTATCCTCGATAAGCTATGAGCCAGGTACTCCTCGTTGAATCGACTTCTGAATAGCGTTGTGTGGATTAGAAGGTTTATAGAATGGCGGCTGGGGAAGCGAAAGAACAAACATCACCGAAAACATCGACTCAAGGTCAGCGAATTGGAAGATGCATAGTTAGTCGTCTTAAAACTTATGTAAAGGAAAGGATTCCCTCGAGAACTCGGAATGTGAGAGGTAGTGATGTGAGTCGACTGGAACCTCATCTAGACACTCACGGTTTGATCAGAATAGGCGGTTGACTGAAACATGCCGCTCTCCACCCAGACCAGAAGAATCCCATACTGTTGCCGAGGGACAACAGGATCACGGGGCTCATTGTGAGAGAGGTACACTTGACTAGAGCTGGACACTCAGGACGAGAACACACTCTTGCCATAATATGCGGGACATACTGGATACCTAAGGGCCGCAAATTACTCGACCGCACAATACGGATGTGTGTGACTCGTCGGAGAAGCAACTGGAGGCCTACCCACCAACGCCAAGCCGACCTGCCAGAAGATGGAAGCATGCCCAATTCATCGCGGACCAATTTTGTAAGAGGAGGGTAAAGTAATATCTCCCGACACTACGTCAGTGACAAAGATTATTCAAAACTCGCCGTACTCTCCACGCTGGGGATATTGTGATCATCTCTGGAATCAGTGGATGCTAGAGAGAGTACTGGAGGCACTACCGAGGGCAGATGGCCTGGTGCGAAGCGTTAAACTGAAGACAAAGGACTCAGTGTTAATACGCCGAGCGACGAGACTCTGTCTGTTGGAAGGGGTCGGAGAGTGAATCTAATGGTAGACCGTAATTTCGTGTAAAGCCTGACAGGGGGAGTGGTACCGCCACAGTAAGATAAACTAGAAGAGAGAGAGATAGAGAGGGATAGCCACAGTAAGATAAACTAGACGAGAGTGAGAAAGGGTGAGAGGAGAGACAGAGTGTTGACAACGAACTTTGCTGAGGTGTTAAATGTGCGCGTCGGCCACATGTTACTAGCGAGATGGAGCTGGTAGCAGCTGTGTGACTGTCTGAGGGAGAGTCTATCGCCTTCTACTGTAAAGGCAACATCTGGATTCTCGTCAGCCAATATCACCAGCAGGACATTAGATTTGTTCTCGTTGGTCTAACCCTAGACCCCATAACGTGAGTGTGATTGTGAACTGTTGAATCCTCTGAGAACTCTAAATAACTTTAATAAGTGTAATTATGTACTGTATATTGATGGTATTATTCAAACTGTGTCCTGATGTACCAGCAGTTGTTATATGTGAATTGTATTCAACAGGTTTTGACTGAATTATACTCATCGCATTAACGACATGGGTCTTATTGTCCTGCACAAACCAAAATCGCTCCTATGAGCGATTACACAAGACATAAATATGTTCTTTAATTAAATGAATACAGTGCTGTACTCTAATAGTGTCTGCCAGTACCCAAATGAACCATTCATATATTATCCACAGGGACCATAAGTGTAGCAACTTGAGGAATACATCTCCATATACAATACATTATAGCTATATCATGGAACAGTATAATAATCCTTTTTAACACTAAACTTTCTTAGTGCTCTCTTCTCAGGACTCAGCACTTAGCGAGGTATTACTGTAAAAGAAAATGTAAATCTTTTGAAAAACGTACCTGCAGGGAAAAATCGTTGAATGGCCTTGGATACATAGCGTGAGAGGTTGGGACAAGCTTTGATGTGGTTCTGCAACACTGGTACCTTCAGGTCCACCTTAGAAGACACTTCATATTATGAATCCAAAATAAAAAATGTTATGATGAATAAAAACAATGATGGTTTATTAAATAGCTATGGTATTTTAGTGAATTTGTTTCAATAACTTGGTTTCTGACAAAGGTAGTGAAGATAAAAGAAATGCTTTATATAACCCTAAATTACAGGTACTGGATACTGCACTTTATGAGCAACTCAAATCAAAATGATCAGAAGGCATACCAATGTCTGACCAAATATTCAAAGAAATGGTTAAATAAGGAGTACAGGTATAGACCCTCAAAACTGGAACTCGGAAAACCAGACATTCGTGAAAACCAAACATTTTCTTGCATGGGAAAGTTTAACTTTTCTTCCCTGGCTACCTCGAGTTTTGCTTCCACTCACACACTCAGTTGAATATTTGCTTTGCTTCTTAAATAACAAACAAAAGGGTTTGTGTGACTGTGTGTGGAAGCCAAACTTGATGTAGTCTACTGGTCTAAGGTAACTCAGATGACCTAGGACCCAGGAAACTGGAAAAATCTTTAAAACCAGTTCAGTCTTGGTCATGAAGGTCCCAGATTTGAGTATTTATACCTGTAATACAATACTGTACTCTTATCACAGTGGCACCTTTAGAGAATCCAGCATTACCTCAATTCCAAGTATTACAGACATTAAAGAGTTTGCTGCGAGAAAGAGATGGCGAATGGATGCCTCTCATAGGAGTTCTCAAATACCCAGTATCAAAGTACTGTATATTTATGCAAAATCGTCAATAGGCTAAACATTCAAAACTGAATACTACTCATCAATACTGAAGTTCATCAATTATTTAGGGTGATTTTCTATGCTTGTATGGGTTAGCTGTAATTACGTGAATCAGCTCTCCAGGTGGAAAGAATTTATTTTTTTTAATAGATTCCTTGATCTGTTATTTTGTATACTGTATATCATAAAGTCATTCAAATAATTTGCTCTCTTCAACATTTAACTCTGCATGTCAAGGAGTTTTTACTGATTCTGTATTTCATGCCTGCCAAGATCTGCAAGATTATCACTATTAAATTCTTTTATTCAAATACAGTGTTCAGGAAAGCATGACTCAGAGTACCGGTAACTTTGTAATCATATAAACATGATTCATATTAACTTATAAATGCATGAATCATATTACTGGTAACTTTATATTTATAAAAGCATATTTCATTTTAACTTTTTACAGTGTTCACTAACATCATAACCACTGAACAACTTAAATATTCCTTTCATTAAGTACAAATATCTTTAGTGTGAGATGCAAGTTTGTAATACCTCTCTCAAACATCACTTTCTCCACAGGAATACTTTATATACATATCTACAGTATGTATGGAATTAACCCCTTGTGCAGGGGGTTGCCACTGAGCTGAATAAAATTGCCTTTTGTAAACCAAATCAAATACTAAAAGTAGTTTCCCTGTAGTGAAAGGGTTAAACTAACCTTTAGAAGTATGGCAAGATATGAGAAGACAAGGGCATCAATAGTGGATGGTGAGCGGCCAAAGAAGTATTCTCGATCTCCAAGACGATTAGACAGCATCGTTAAACACTCTTGAGCTTGCTTATGCAACTGAAATCAAAGAATATTATCAACTACAGCATGTAATAAAAGTGAAATAAGTTGTTATTCCATAAAGCTAAAGTATAACAAATATACTGTACAGTGAAACTTTCAAACTTTCATCTAACGGATTACATGGAGAGAAGCCCGTTAGATTGAAGGTTCGTCAGATATTTAATATATACTGTAAGAGAGAGAGAGAGAGAGACTCTCTCTCTTACACCTATCTAAGTCCTACCTCAGTTTCAATAAGCTGAGAATCATCAGGATCGTCAAACATGCTATTAATTAAGTCACACTGTCCAATATGATACCTTCTTGGATACCATAATTTATAAGGGAATGGTATGCTGCTGAAGTACCACTTGTGGATAACATCACAGTAGCTCTTGGGTTCCACCCACCTGAAACACAAATTAAATTTATGGATTTACTCCAAAAATAGAAGTACAGTACAATGGGAACCAATATATAAGACTATACTGTACAAAGTAAAGGTTGCATTCACTACTCTTTCTGGCCCGTAGGCCCAGCCCCTCTTCTATACTAATAGCTGATTGGCTCATAGAAAATTCAAACTAATATATGTTCACAATTGGTAAGCAGAACCTGTTAATATCTAAAATAATGTTAAATAACTGGACTATCAAAATGCAAATTATTTCAAGGCATTAGCACTTCAGACAGGATGTCATAAAATTTTTAATATTTATCATAAAAGGTCAATATAATTACAAGCTTATATACTCACAGTCTGGGGGGAGGTAAGGCACTCAAGGGAACCAATCAGCTATTTGTAGCTATAGATGAGAGGCGTGGCCTATGGGCCAGCTTAGCATAGAAATACTTTAGTAATGCCACTTTCAATACTTCGTGAGTATGATGAACCTCATGTACATTATCCAGCCTCATCACTCACACTGCCATTTATAATCCTGCATTTTTTAGGTAAAATTCGTAACCCACAGGCAGAATATCCTGTGTAAAAATTTGATGCACAACTTCCTGAAATTGAGTAAAAACCACTCTCCTGGGAACCAACAGCTTCTACTAAATTATCTAATAAAAGATAAGATGATCTATTTACTGTAACATAACTTAAACTATCACATGAATAAAAGAAATGCCTACAAAATCACAGGTCAGAGCAGGAGCTGAACATCCATGATGTAAGAGAGGTGATTGGGATCTGAATGTGTTGATCCTGTGAGAAGACCTCTATAGCCATGTTAACAAATAAACAAATGAGTCTGAGCACCTGATGTTCTGCTCAGCAACAAAACTCACAAGTCATCTTTCATTTTAGGACACCTGTATCTCCTTTCCAAGTGGTTATCCTTCATGAGCCTCGTATGAAGGTGAAAGATATTCTAATTTCTCCAAATAATAGATACAGAATTTAGATCCCAGTCACACATTAGGGTCCCATAGCATGAGTTTTGACCTATTGGCTTAACAATTATACTGAGTAGCTTGATTCCAACAAAATACTGTATTATAAACAAAGATAAGTTATATGCTGTGGAACAATGATGTAGCACCAGGTAGAGTTGGGTCTCATCCAACAACCAGGCGTATAACTGGTTCATCAAACAATTGTTTAAACACTCTTGCAATATGATAAACATACTCAAAGAATAATACTATTGAATGAGACCTCATGGCATCAGTTTTTCCAACTCTAATACTCTTTAAAGTCCTAAAACAGATAGAGGCAGAACATAGCAGCTGAAAATACAATACAGTCATCTGAAAAACATCGGCAGGAAGTATGGCTCGGAACGACATTAAGCTGGCTTCCCATTTTCTAGCAACTGGATTGCAGAGTAAATAGGCAACAGCACAGTGTCAAAGACTCTTAGGCCCAAATTCAAAATGGTGATTTGAGCCTGGGATTTGAGCTCGGCTCAGGCCTGCGAATTTAAATTCCCCAATCCGAGATTTCCTGTAGTGGATTGCCCATATTCAGAACACCGACTTGAACCCAGGATCGGGTAATCTGTTGCATTATCTTCAATTACGAGCAAAGATTCGAACACTGAAATTCCAGCCAATCATCATTACGACAGCCAATCACCATCAAGAATAATGTTTACAAGATTATGGCGGCAACTATGACCCAACAAGTTTTTACGGAGGAGGAGAAATCTCTCCTTGCACATCAAAAGTTACTTTTATTAATATAATTACAATCAAATTAAAATGATTTATGGTACTGTGTTACAACATGGCTGTGTTGTTATATAATATAACAAAGAATTCCAGAGGAAGAACAATTACATACAAATTGTAGATATAATGAGGGACAGGTGTCAATATTCATAACCAAAGCAAGATGAATCAATGCAAGGCGTCGTAACCTTGCTAGGTTCAGTGAGGTTAGGTTTCTTTCTTTTCTTTTATCCTCACATTTACCCTGCTTAGTAATGTTAAGAAAAGACTTTCCTTTATTAATACATTAAAATCAAAATGCACTCAGCATTGATTCAATTACTGTACTGTATATTGAAAATACATCAAAATAGTTTTCCTAAAGAAAAACACTCAAAATAAAGAAGCGTCAGTGTTCTTTACATTTACCTATTTGATCTTCATGGACCCTAAACACAAAAGTGTTGCAACACATTACCATAACTCATTCAGTAACCAGAATCTTTCTTACCCGGAAAATATTCGTTGCGAAGAATCTCAAAGTAATCATCAGCTGATGAATGGGAGGTTGAGATGAACCATAACCAATAGGTCTGTCAAGTAGATGCTCCATATCACAGAAAATATCAAGGAAATCTCCCTTGCTGAATCTATACAGTAGGGTCGGGATATATCGCAACTTTATACAGTCTCTCCTCGACTTACGACAACCCGGACATACGACGGCCACGGTCATATAAAATATTTTTCACATTACGTATTTTTGAGTCCCGACGTTAGTGATTGCGCTGTGTACTGACAAAATTTTCGTTTGTAATTCCCTTTAAAATGGCTGGCAAGTGTAAAAGTGAGAGTTCTCGTGGTTCTGAGAAGAAAAAGAGACACCCATTTTAGAATTTCTATGTATTATTTCGCCTTTTCGACTTATGACCAATTCAACTTACTACCTGGTCGTCGGGACGGAACCCCATCGTAAATCGAGAAGAGACTGTACAAAGATTTTTTTATATCGCTTTTACCAAAATTATAAAAATTTTCCTTTATATAGCGATAAATGTTTTTATTTTGCGATGAAAATCGGGCAGGATATATTTCAAATGTACTGCCATGGCAAACAAATGCGTTATTTGCTCACCAGAGGCGCCACCGTGGCTGCTCACTCTCGCATTCACACTCGCCCGCTCAGTCTTTCTGAGTGAGTGATGAGAAAGCAGAAGACTCTGTTGCAGATTACAACTTCTAAGGTGAGTGTAAATGGGTTGCTAGTGACGTGAAAAGTGAAGAGAATGAAAAGCTTAATGGAAAAGATTTAATACTGTAACTAATATTTTTGGTGTTCGTTTATGTAAGTGTGGGATTGTCAAGTGAGGGTGGCAGTGTGGCATCTGCTGCCGAGTCTGGTGTTCCCAGGATGGGGCGTCAGCTGCCGAGTCTAGTGTTCCTTGATATTGAAGTTCCCGAGTCTAGTGTTCATTGGTGCTTTAGTTAATATGAAAATGTACTCATTAAGTCAAGTTTAGTCACTTTTTTTGGCCTCCAGAACTTAACCCTATTTTCCCCATTTATTACATGTAATTATATATCACGATTTAGTATATAGCGAACATCGTTGGACCCTATCTCGTGATATATCCCGACCCTACTGTATCGTTGTTTAAATTGCGTGTCATCATAAAAATTGATAGGATTCTGCCTATCTACCATCAGACTTCTCTCTTCAAAATTCCCAATTTGATAATATCGCCAAAAAACCGCACTCTGTCAAAATTCATGTTGACTTGCTTGAGGGATCGACCGCTAAACCTGCCTCCAGGCTGAATTAACGCAAGGATCGACAATTCCGATTTCAAACCCGGTTTGAATCTTTGTGTTGGCTCAAGCCAGCGTTCTGAATACCAACAATCTTCAATCTTTGCTAGTTTATTGGTTTAAACCTTCGTGCGGTTTCAAATAACAATTTTGAATTCGGGCCTTAGCTCTCAGCCTCTGACAAATGACTCCTCAATGCTAATTCCATTTTTATGCTGTGGTTGAGTTGGGAAAGAGACTATTTCTAGTTCTTATGTTTTTACTGGGTTTCTAGACTACAATACCAGTTGTACAAGTGGAGGAGTCCTGGTAACCCTGGGGTGTCAACTCAAGAGTTTGCTGCTCCAGGTCATGAGACATCTGGTTCACTATGTCAGCTCTAAAAGAATCATGTAATCTATATATAATTAGTCCATTACAGTATTTGTTAAAATAGGATTATTTTTCCATACCAACCAGAGATACATGAGTGCTGGGTATAGTTTTTCCAATAGCAGATGTTCATACGCCACCACCTCTGAGCATTGTTTGGCAGATAGTTCATAATCACAACTGAAATTCTGAAACAAACACAAAAATATTTAATCAATGAGAAATTACATAAAATTCATTAAATACCAGTTGGGTGAAAGTGACCTATATTTAGGAAAAAACAGGCACCAAGACTCCACATTTAGCCCTAAATCAAAGTTCCTACTCACTAACATCACACTGCAGTAATATTATTACTTGGCATGAATTTATCTGATTCTCCTTCCTTGCAAGTGCCTGTACTGGTATTCTAAACAATCACTGGGTGACCATACCCCTGCATTTGAGACTAATATGAAAAAATTAATAGATCAAACAAGGCAGGCACAAGGAGCATAGTGAGTGCTCAATGACACCTAGTAAGCCACCCTACAATACAAAAGCCTCCGGGTGAGAGGTGTTAAGTCAGAACTGTCAACATAAAATAAATACTACATATACCTTAAATTTTACTAGCTTGACTACCTCCCTCCCTGCATAGTAATTCTTTCTTTACTTACCATCAAAGGCATGGACACAAATGAATTAAAAGCTGTATCATTGATACGGTACATAAACATCATCCATAAAATCCAATTTACCTGTTTACGAAGGAATGTGGTAACCTGAGAGAAGTCTGAGAAAGCCCCCTCAATGCACTTAAAAACTGGCAACTGACCAGTAGGTGACTTAAATGGATTACTTGACTTCACAATAGTCACAGGTGCTCCTGAGAATTTCACATAGGCCTGAAAAACAAAAAAGGATAATACATGTATATATACAGTCATGCGTCGCTTAACGTCCTAGATACCTTCTAGGAAACGTGACGTTAACCGACTTGGACGTTGTCCGAACATCACAGTGTGAACTTTGTATTTATACTTACGTGTATGTAGAATATTGCAGTGTACTTGTACTGTACAATATTGACTAAATTCACTAGATAACGTACACAACTAATGAAACACAGAGGTTAAAAAGGCTAATAAAATAACATAGTCTACACTGCCGACGAGGCAAAACCAAGCAAACACTGTCATACAGTTTGTAAACTTTTTATTTCGTAAGTAAGGAAATCAAATTAAAAGTACTGTACTGTACACTACACTAGCCAAAAAACATAAACCAGTTACATAGGCATTTCTTATATCTATCAAAACATATTATGGATAATGGTTACTGTACTGTATCATCATACGCCTGGCAGCACAATCTGTAAGAACACATGATGCATGCATGAGCACGCCCGCTCTAAGGCCACTTACGTCCGCTATGTCCCTTGTCTGAATTTTTTTTTTTTATCCCCATTATTTTCTTATTATTTTTATGGGCCACTGACGTATATGCGATCGGACGTTGTTCGGACGGACGTAAAGCGACGCATGACTGTATATATATATATATAATGTGCATGATCCATGTATATGCTGATAACCACATAGGAAACAAGAAAACACGAAGTTCCCAAGCGGTTTCATGTAATTCACATGTTCAGGGATGAGTACAGACTCATAAGCATGAGTAGTTTTCGTAGTACAGTACTACAGTGCTATTAGAAAAAAAGAATACTAAAGAAATAAGTTTTCTGGTGTTGTTACTTAAATTATGAAGAAAGAGTAATTTATAGCAGCCAATAGCATTTTAACTCCCATGACTTGCAGACTAACTATATTCTATCAGTCTTGGGAAGAATATTCTCTGTAAAATAAATCAGTATGATTTCAATAATATGGCTCGTCATTTTGGGTGTTGGTTGATTGATGCCTCACAATCCTCCTCTTCAATGTTCTTTTGTTGAATTCCTTTTGGTGTATTGCAAGAATGTTCTATTTCTTTAGCTCCTGTTTTTCATCCAATGCTTTCAGGGGAATGTGCATGATCAATTCAACAAGCTCTATACCTCACCAGTGCTAATAGTGCCTGGCTCTACTGTATTTTTTCTTATCCTTTTCACCACTTATCAGTTTACGAGTACGTAGTGGATATTTTGCCATGACCGGCTAAGTTCCTAGTAATGCTATTTTACCGTGAGTGCACACTGATTGTCTAAGTATTTTTTAATATGACGGGGGGAAGTTAGGTGAGGTTAGGTATGTTTCTGTAGTTGGTTAGGTCAGGTTCTAGTCAATGTCACCTCTTTTATAATAAGAACATCAGTGGAAAAAAATAACCAAAATTGCACATCTTCTGATTAAGTATAATTATATGTTTACAAGTTACCCATAATCTAACAAATTAATGCGATTTTCTCGAAAATGAATCATTTGTGATGGAAACGTTACAATGAATTTTTTTTAGAAATGATGAGATATACCTAGAACTGGACCCCAAAATATTGTGGGGGACATTATGGGCAACTTGTAAATAAAGCACACCAAAACCAAAATCCAATGGAAAAACTAGATTTCATCTCAAAATCAGTTTCTGTACTAACCTAACCTGACCTAACCGACATTGTTCAGAATATATATACTGTACTGTCTGACAGAGATGGGGTCAATTCATTTTTTTCAATTCAATTCCAATTCAGAATAAAATTTGAATTAATCAATTCCAATTCAATTCGATTCACAAGCTTTTCAATTCCAATTAAATTCAATTTATTATTGTCGAGATTTCATTCAATTCAATTCAAATACTTTTCAATTCAAAATCAATTCTAATCTACCATTAATCTAATGGACAGAAATAAAAATTTGAGGTTTCAAATTAACTTCTTTATTTTTTATCAAAAATGCTCTACCACACAAACCAATCACATTCTTTACCAACCAAAAGTTCAAATGGTTTAATTCTTTGTATTAGTAAACAAAATATGAATGAGTCCAAGTTGCTGAGGATTGCATCTGATCATAATAAGTTGCTCAAATCTTTTCTCTCTTAAATTGCACCTCTCTGGCCTGAAGAGCTTGCCAGCAATGGAGAACAGTCGTTCCACAGGAGCCGATGTAGCAGGAATGGCCAGGTACTTTGCTGCAAGCCTGGTGAGGACAGGAAACTCAGGTTGCTTGGCCTTCTAGTAGCCAAGGGGATCACCATCTTCCTGTAGACATGGCTAGTTGAGGTAGAGTGAGACCTCAGTTTCTGATGGAGTTGGTCTTGGTGTAAAAGGCCGGTTGGCCAGGGCAAAGAACTTGTTCCTCTTCATCGGTGGTGGTTCAGCAGGGGAAGTGTCTGTTGTTGTAGGATCAACACTGCGTTCCATATTGTATTTCACAGTCAGAAGGTCACGAATGTCTTGCACTTCATTGTCATAGTCATGACACCAATAATATTCAGACATATGGTCAATTATGAATTGAATTGGAATTGATTAAAAAAATCCGTGAATTGGAATTAAAAAATACAAAATTAAAATTAATTGAATTGATTTGGAATTGATATCAATGAATTGATATGAATTGATGTGAATTGATAAAATAATATAATATACAGTATAGTCTTCATTTACGCGGTCAATTGAACCCGTGGAGGTCCGCGTAAAACGAGAAACGTGTAAACGAAATAACAGAACATATGGGATTAATTGAAATAGAGACTGGGCCGACCCCCAAACTACACTTTTTCCGACACAATAGTACGTTGTAGTAAAAATAACATCTTAATTTTATGATGGTATGCACACACAATTAATATTTAAGAGAAATACAGTGCCGGTTAATGTCCATTCAAATAACTGACTCAACCCCCCCCCCCCTTCCCAAGCTCTTGAGAAATGTTTGGGTGAAAACACTAGGTTTTTAGGTTTATTAATAAATAATACCTCAGACTATGTTTAGGATAATATAATTGACATTGCTGGATTCCTTGCAAGACTGCGAATAATTTGAATATAAACATCATATATTTTGCACAAAAGATAAAATTTTTGCTCTCTGTAATAAAATTCATAAATTAGATCTAAAATTTGTATGTCTAATGCAAATTTTAGCTTGTTTATATTAAAATTAATCACTATTTTATAAGAATTTCAGCAATGTAAATTATATTCTGGCCGGGTAATTTTTATGAATTTTATGAGCTAAAAAACAAATATCTTCAGTAAATAAACAAATTATACTTCACCCAGACACAATACATTACATACTTGTAGTAAAAATAACATCTTAATTTTATGATGGTATGCACACAATTAATATTTAAGAGAAATATCAATAATATTAGGTTTTTTAACACTTACTTCGTAGAAGAGATGGCTGGGTACACAGGGATTGGGGTTGGTTCTGAGGCAGAGGGCAGATTATTGGCCCTCACCTGTATCACTTGTATCACCTGTATCACTATCCACCACAGAGGCTAGCAGGGCCTCTTTGTCAAACCCCTCAAAGTCCATATCCTCACTATCACTATCACTGACTTGGGCTGGCTGTGGTGGGTGGCGGGTGAATAACTCGGTAATGTTTTGTTGACTGGGCAACCTTGTGCGCACCCTGCCCGCGCCACTTCCCGAGTAAATGATGGAATGAACCACGTAAATAAAAATTGTCGGTCTGGCAAGGTGCCGCGTAAATGACCAAACGCGTAAACCAAATCCGCGTAAATCGAGACTAAACTGTACTGTAATATGCGTCTTCATTATTTTACAATAATTAACTTATATTCAAATAAAAACTAAAATATACAGTTAGCTAGCAAAAAAAATATTTTAAAAATATATCAAGTGATGGCATGGCATCTCATCTCATCTCATCAAAGATGGCAAGGAGCAAGGTGGTAAATTTTAACAAGTTACCCATAATCTAACAAATTAAGTAATGCCATTTTCTCGAATATGAATCATATGCGACGGAAATGTTACTAAGAAACACTGTTAGAAATGACGAAATATACCTAGAACTGGAACTAAAAATATTGTGGGACATTATCAGCTACACAACGATCAACTCACGGTGAAGTAAATGCCAAATGCCGCCATAATCACGGTCACATATCATTCTCCCGTTGTTCACCAGTAATGGACAATTAGCCAATCAGAATGCACTCACAGTAAAATAGCATTAGTAGGAACTTAATCGGTCACGGTAAAATATCTACTGTCATACTAGTATGGTTTGAACGATGCAAATTTCCTAATGGTGATTATGTCTTTTATGTGTACTACAGTTTACGCTAAGTGTTTACTTGTAATTTTTATTCATACCATTATTTAAAAAAAAAAAAAATTTACAAATTAAGAAATGTTAGGTCAGGTTTTCAAAGGTTTGTTTTGTTATATTTTTAGTATTTTACCCCACATTTTCCCTCGACTTCAAAGCCCTGCCCACTTTAAACACGTAATATTGTTAGTAACTTTGGTTAATATATAGGACTAATCCGCGGTCGAGTTATTTGTATTACTGTTTATTTTCTTACTTTATTTTCATCAGTGAGCTCTGATATGGTAATCATTTCTTGTGCAAATGTTTCGTTTTGTAGATAATTAGGTGCAGAGGGGAGCACTAATTAGTCTTCCCGGTGGAAATGAGGCCGCACTCTGCTGCGGCTCTTTTCCCCGCGCCCGAGGCAGTTTCATTTTCAGCATGACGTGTAAAGGTTGTCGCTGGCCTTATATGGACGTAATTTGCAAAATTTAGGGATAAAACAATGAGCCCCTTCAATTGTTCAAAGATCACGGCATTTTTTCTTTAAATACAGACTGTGCACACTGCGGGAATCCCTGTGCTTTCAGACCGGAAAGAAATTTGTTCATCAGTTCCTCAACGCCGTGGCTCGACGTTTCCCACCATCACAATAAATCACTCCGCCACCCGGGCAGCATAAGCGCTGATGCGGCCATATGATCTCACATCCAGAAAAAGCCTTAAATTACACCATATCATAGCAAGTTCTTTCTGTTTAATATACCGGGGGTTTCGCACCCAGGTAAGGAAGTTAGGTAAGTTTAGGTAGGTTTGTTTGGCTATGTTGCTTAGGTCTGTTTTTCATACCCACACAGGTTAAGTTACGTTTATTTTAAAAATAACCATTTTTTAACACATTTGCACAAACTACAAGAGTGTCCACTATAAAAAACATTCAAAATCAGGATTTTAAAAAATCGTTTTCTAATAATTTCGGCCGTGGGTTAGTCATGAATAATTACCGTAACTGTATCTATTAAAATACTCAAATAATATAAACTTCCAAAGTTAATGACACAGAAGAAAAGTGTCTTACCGGCAGAATAGTCTGAACAAGGTGAAAAACGTATTTTCTTATGGAAAAATAGAAACTTGGCTACTATCATAAATTTGCCGTATTTTATTGTTCTTGTTATATATTCCTCATAAAGTCAATCAATCAAACACATCTATAATAACTCAAATAATGGGTCTCGCGCTTCCTACCCCACTTGAATATGATATAAATTAACAACATTTCCTCACCAGCATTTGAAGACTTTTAAGGTCCATAGATGGTAATCCATATTTAGCCTCGCCGTCCCACACATGCAGCTCCATAATGATTTATAACAACATTTACTCATCAGCTTGACGAACACTCCGGCCGCCTCTGCCAGACCACTTGGACCACAACTAATTTCAACTTATATAGTACATATTTTTTTATATTAATGTTCGTAAACATATCATAAACACATTAATGTATATTTTTAAGTTAAAATTATTCAATTAAAATATATAATTAATATAATATATATATATTTTGGAGACTGTATTTATATTAAGGCTTAAACAATAAGCTCTATGTGAACTGGATCTAAAGTTTCAACAGCTGACCGGCAGACGACACTGTTTATTGATGGTTTTATCGTATTATTTAATGGGGGTCTACCAGCCAGGTGCCCCAACCACTGCTTCACCCGTTTCGTCACCACTGCTTCACCCGTTTCGTCACCACTGCTTCACCCGTTTCGTCACCACTGCTTCACCCGTTTCGTCACCACTGTTTCACCCGTTTCGTCACCACTGTTTCACCCGTTTCGTCACCACTGCTTCACCCGTTTCGTCACCACTGTTTCACCCGTTTCGTCACCACTGCTTCACCCGTTTCGTCACCACTGCTTCACCCGTTTCGTCACCGCGTTCATTCCCATCAATATATACACAAAAATAACTGTTGCTTGGAATAGAAAATAATAAAAAAATAACACCAAGACAATTTATTGAAGACGAAAATAAAAACATTGTTAATACGCCTGCAATCATCTCACTGCTCGGTGGTAGTGGATACCTTGTGGGGTATGGGTTGTTTGTTCGGACTCAGGATGGGATGGAGAAAGGAAACTCACAATGTGCTCTCTGTATACATGTTGTATTGGATGTACAATGCAGCTTGGTGCTGGGAAGGCAGCATGGTTACAAGCGTGATGTAGAGAGAGCTGGTTGGTGAGGGTGCTCAGAGGAGGACCAGCTTGTGGGTCGCCATGCTCGCCGGCGGGAGCGAGGGCCGCCAGGCAGGCGGGGGAGGAGGTGTTGCTGGCTGGTTGGTGAAGGTAGAAAGAGACAGGTCACCACGAGGTCAGGTCTTAAATAGCGGGGGGTAGGCGTGGCTCAGTTGACCCCCGCTCCGTGATGTATGGCGGCGCTGGTTGACCTAGACCACGAGGCACACTGTGGAATTCGTGGGGTCGGCTACGCAGCGACAAACAGCATTTGTAGGGGAGAAATCCACTACAATACTCCCCCTTCCCTCCAGGCGGTGTAGGAGACTTGTCTGCAGGGTTGCATAGCACATGTGAGGCAGAACGGCGGTGCATGCCTCATGTGAGACAACGGCGATGGCGTGGATGAGCCGATCGCTGGAGACAACTGTCTAGATACACAATATCTGTGGGAGTAAAGTGGGAGAAAAAGGGTGTGTGGTGGCGATGAATGTTGTGCTTCCCTCACGGCAGGTACAGAGACGTCAGATGCGCCTGCTGGGGTGTGTGGGCCTAGGTCAGGAGCAGGGGCTGCATCAGCAGAAGCGGATGAGGGCTCGTGACAGCAGCTGGGTCCACGACAGCAGCAGGGTGCAGGACATTAGCAGGGAGCACCTGAGGGAGAAAAGAGGGGTGTGTGGGTCTGTACTCAGGAACAGGGGCCGCGACAGGGGGTACTGCTGGGCCGGGGTCGGCGTCTGAGGCAGGACGGGTGTGTTGGTCCTCGTCAGGAACAGGGGCCGCATCAGGGGCGGCAGGGGTTACTGCTGGGCTGGGGACGGCGTCTGAGGCAGGACGGGTGTGTTGGGCTCGGTAGGACATGGTGCTTGGGGCAGGAAGAGGAGCTGGTGTCTGCTTTGAGAAGCAGTGCTGCTCTAGGGTGTCTAACCTGCGGTGTAGAGACAGTAGCTGTAGAGCCGATGAGAGCTGCTTCTGTGTGGATAAGCAGGTCTTCCATGTTGCTTGAAGACTGGGAGCGTGATCAGTTTCTCCTCCATCCTGTGTGAGTGCGAATCTCCGGGGGTCACCATTTGTGGGGATGAGTTGTTTGTTCACTCACACTCAGGATAGGATGGAGGAAGGAAACTCACAATGTGCTCTCTATATACATGTTGTATTGGATGTACAATGCAGCTTGGTGCTGGGAAGGCAGCATGGTTACAAGCGTGATGTAGAGACAGCTGGTTGGTGAGGGTGCTCAGAGGAGGACCAGCTTGTGGGTCGCCATGCTCTCCGGCGGGAGCGAGGACCGTCAGGCAGGTGGAGGTGTTGCTGGCTGGTTGGTGTAGGTAGAAAAGAGACAGGTCACCACGAGGTCAGGTCTTAAATAACGGGGGGTAGGCGTGGCTTAGTAGTTGACCCCCGCTCTGTGATGTATGGCGGCGCTGGTTGATCTAGACCACGAGGCATCTACTCGAGAATTCGTGGGGTCGGCTACTCAGCGACAAACAGCGTTTGTAGGGGAGAAATCCACTACAACCTCCAGGTCAACCAGCGCCGCCTTACATGACGGAGGTCAACTAATAAGCCACGCCTACCTCCGCTATAAAAGACATGACCTCGTGGTGACCACTCTCTTTTCTACCTACACCAACCAACAAACAACACCTCCTCCGCCTGCCTGGCGGTCCTCGCTCCCGCCGGCGAGCATGGCGACCCACAAGCTGTCCTCCTCTGAGCACCCTCACCAACCAGCTCTCTCTACATCATGCTTGTCACCACGCTGCCACTTCCCAGCACCAAGCTGCATTGTACATCCAATACAACATGTATACAGAGAGCACATTGTGAGTTTCCTTTCTCCATCCCATCCTGTGTGAACCCAAACATAACGTACTCCACACTATATTTTTCTTATTTACCAATGTTGAATCTTTTTCTTATTAAACAATTAATATTCATGTATAGTAATGAGACAATAATTCATTTGTCCTGTATTTTGTTTATTTACCAATGTTTTAATCGTTTTCTTTATTAAATAATTAATATCCATGTATAATTGTAGCGTACTGTATGTGGCCAGTTGTCAATTCTCTTTGGTTGTCTATTATCTCTTTGTATGGGCTCACAAACGTACGTACATGTAAGATATCTCACACTCAGGATTGAGGTAGAATAGAAACTCACAATGCATTTTATGTATATATATATACAGTATATATATATTGTTGTACAGTGCAGTGCTAAGGAGTTACTAGGTGATGAGTAGTTTGCTCAGAGGTTCTGTTGGGCGAGGAGCTTTCTGGGGGAGCTGATTGGTGAGGTGCTGTGGAGAGGTCTTGCTGGTCCAGTAGGTCAGAGTAGAATGGTCTCCCTGGCCAGCCACGCCCGTATTTATACGATTCTGCCAGATCAGGAATCGAGGCAAGCGTAGTGCGGGTGTGGGGTTATAAGATATTGGTTCACACTCAGGATGGTATGGAGAAAAGAAACTCACAATGTGCTCACTGTATACATATTGTATTGGATGTACAATGCAGCTTGTTGCTGGGTAGGTAGCATGGTAATAAGCGTTGAGTAGAGAGAGTTGGGTGGTGAGGGTGCCCAGAGGAGGGACGCCAAGGTCGCTGGCGGGAGCAGGAGCCGCCAGGCTGGCGCGGAGGTGGTGGTGTTGCTTGCTGGTGGCACTGGGTAGAAAGAGAGCGGTCACAGCGGTGTCAGGCTTTATAAGGAGGGGGTAGGCATGGGTAGATAGTTGACCCCTGCTCCATGGGCGGCGCTGGAGGCATAGGCTGGGGAATTCGAAAAGGTTCGGTGCTTGTAGGGGAGGAATCCACTACACGGGAGCCAATCACGGAGGAGAACGCGAAAGGTGCCAGACTCCATGATCCTGGCATGTAATGGGAAGCTATGGCCTCTCCTGGAGTTGCTGCGTGTGCGTCCGCACTTGGGAGTAGGTCTATCGGCATCGCTGATTGGCTGGTAAGCGGGCGGCAGCTCAGTCGGCAGTTGTAGGGGAGAGGATCCACTACATAATAATAACACACTACTTCTTGAGTCGTCTGTATACATGTGTAATTTCTATTCGTGTAAAATATTAACTTAAAATTTGTCACTAATACCAGCAACTGTTATTGGTGACGAAACGTATTTGATATTGGTGACGAACCTGGTTGGCGACGTAACGGATTAGTGAAATGGGGTGTACCCATTTAATGTATTAGTCATTACACCTGGGGAGGCAAATGAGGTGAATAATTAGTAGTTGCCACCACCTAATTGATTTTTGAAAATGGGTTTTTATAGCGTAAATCATCGTGGACTCAGCCATCCACATGCACGGGCCTCTCACCGCCTCCTCACACAACGTGTCGTCTCGTCCGGCATCAAAGCTGACACTTGGAAATGGGCTGCCCAGTGCCTGGCCTACCAGTAATCTAAGATACATCGACACATACGGGCCCTCTTAGAAACCTTTCCTGTGCCCAAAGGACGCTTCCAGGTAGGGTACCTCGACATCTTGGGACCTCTTCCATCATCCTATGGGAACACCTACATCTTCACCTGCATTGACAGTTACACCAGGTGGATGGAAGTCATTTCCATGCCTGATGCTGCAGCAGTCAGCTGTCGTGCTTTCCTGTCTGGTTGGGTCTCCCATTTTGGTTCCCCCACGACTGTCATCACTGACCAAGGAGCCCAGTTTGAGTCACAACTCTGGCATAGCCTCCTACAATTCCTCGGCACTTCCAGGCACCGCACTACTGCTTAACCCCCTCAATCCAACGGCATGGTAGAGCGGATTCATTGGCAACTGAAGGACGCCATCAAGGCACAGCACGACCCTTACAGCTGGACGGATGCTCTACCCTTAGTACTCCTCGGCATCCGTGCATCACACAAGCACATGGACTGCAGCCCAGCAGATCTCACCCTAGGCGAGCCCCTTCGCCTACCCGGGGACTTCTCACTTACTCCTGACCTTGACCACTTCACTCCTGCTGCCCGTCACAACCTACTGAAAGCACTACGACCAGCAGTTTCTGCATTCAAAGCTACTGCCCCACGCCACCCTTCGCTTCGCCCTGAACACATCCCTCCTGCACTACTCAACGCCAAGTATGTCTTTGTCAGGCGCGATGCTCACCGCAACCCACTTCAACGCCCCTACAACAGACACTTCCAGGTTTTTCCACGGTCAACGAAGTTCCTC